ACCCCCTCCCCGCCTTAACTTCCGGCTCCTCCCCACCTCGCTGCTCCTTCCGTCCCAACTTGCCAGACTATAGGTTCCGCTTGTACTACGGTTCCTGCAAGCTCCTCGGATTAGCCCCAGGGGGCCGAAATCCAACTCCCCACAAGACCTTGCCTCACCGGTAGGAACACAAAGAACACATCTCATTGTTTCCCTGGACCTTAACTCGGTCCCGCTGAGCATCATGGGAGGTGTAGTCTTGTTCGGTGACCTGCTGAATAACCGCGGAAGGTCGCGCAGAAAGTAGAGGAAATGACCTAGCATGCCGCGCTGGGGCTTCTGGGGGTTGTAGTCAACAAGCCCCGTGGTACACCAGGACAATGCCTGACGACAGAGGCAGAGAAAACTACAACTTCCAGCATGCCTCGCTACCCTTTTCTTTAGCGAGCGTTCTTCCTCGCGACTATCCTGTTCCGCCCCATCTGTGTGCCGCACAGCTTGAGTAGAAAAGCTGGTCCAGCGGCGGTGGAGGCTGGCGCTGTCCTGAGAGGGAGGGCTCGGTGTGGAAGAGGTGAGGGTGTCCCAGGCCCCCTGGGCTGAGTATCTGGCTGAGTCTAATCTCCCCGCCTCCCAGTTATTTTCCTCTCTTCTCCGAGGCATTCCTACACCCCTCCTGTCCACCCAGGCCTGACTCTTCTAGTCGGGGCGACCCTTGGAAGCAGGAGTAAGCTCGGGGTTAGGGCTGCGACCGAACCCTGACATTTGGTTCCGAACTCGACAGTTGGTTGTGAACGAGCATTTACTCCACCAGGGAGCCACCGGGCTCCGACGACTGCGGTAGATCCGTGGGCTCCTGGACGTTCGCTCATAAAGTCTTCCTGCCCTGACACTATTCCCTGGTCTCAGTTCACCAGCCTCACCTATCTGGGCCTAGCTCCGCAGATGACAAGTGAAACCGAGTCTCACTTCTCAGTGGCTGGTTTCTGGAGTGTCCTGAGGCGGGGAGCATCTTGGTTGTGGGTTTATCGCTGATTCTTCTGTTTTCCTATGTCATGTTCTGTTCTCTCGGAATTGCCACCCTACTTGTGCGCTGTCAGTAAACAGGTGACAATAGGACAAGTCTCTGAAGTATTTAAAATCGTGTTGAAGAACCTTTCTCAGTCACTTAAAATGGTACCTGATTGCTTTAGAGTCAGCATTTCTTGCCAAGTAAATCTTGTTTCTCATTTGGTGCTAGAAGTACAGATTAGTGTCAATGATCTATTATTAAAGAAAGATTCCAGAAACCACCTGGTGAATTATTGGATCTGTTAAGCATACTGTATACCTGTCTGTAGGTACCTTCACTAGTTACTATAGTGAAGGAAATGATCTGCCTTAGTTTTTCCGAGAGCGAAAAATTGGTAGCTAGAAGGTACATGCAAGACAGTGGAAATGGTCTAAGGGCCAGAACATCTGGATTGTAGTTCTGAGTACTCCTAGGAGCAATTAACAAGGTAGTTTTGATACTTGACCTTTTTGTGTCTTGTCCTCATCAGTGAAATGGAAACGGAGTATGGCAGGCCGGACAAAGTGCTTTATGAACTGGCACGTGTGCCAGACACAAATGTATGCTAATACCTTCATTGTTCTGAACCATCCATAGTTTTGGCCACTCTCAGAATTTTTGTTTTAAATTAATTTTTTTTAATTTTTAGGGTTACTTCAAAATATTTTCTTTCTAGCTTTTTTCTAAAGTACCATAATTTATTAATAATAAAAGTTAATGTGAGCATTAATTTTGCTCAGGCACTAAACACTCCACCTGTATTATAACAATCCTATGAGGTAATGCATTTATTATGCCCATTTTACAGATGAAGAAACCAGCGCAAAGGTATCAGTAAGGTATTCAATACTAAAAGGGACAAACATGCAGTCTTTACTTTCTGCTAGACAGTTCATTAAGTGTTTCCTGAGTTCTCTTTATTCTTCACAGTATCCTTGAGAGGTAGGAAATCATTTTCTTCAAGGAGGCTTGGAAGTAAACTCTTTCACCCAGTTTGCTCATATTTGAACTCAAGTCTTCCTGACTACAATGCTTATGCTAGCTTTTTTTTTTTTAAGAAATATTTTTGCTATAGCACACGTGCAATTGCCAGAGAGACAGAGACAGGGAGAAAGAAAGTGAGAAATATCCCCCAGCGGGAGATGGCCACACCATAAATCCCTTCTCTTCCATTGTCCTCTCAGGATCTTGGGCATGCATGCACACATGCCCAGCATTAGTTTTAAGCAGCCAGATCTGTAATTTGAACTGCAGTCAACTATAAGGGAGTCCAGCCATTTGCCGGTCCCACAGTGCCTATGCTTGTATCACCACGAGGGATGGTGTCATTGTCTGCCATCTTTTTAATTTAGTTTTGACTCCCTAGAATTAAGTACAGAAGAAGAGTTTTTAATCTACATCTGGGTTCATAAGAAATTGATTAGTAATGTTGGCATGGGGTGGGGCCAGCTGGTGGGGTATTTTCACCATGCATTGTCTCCTGAGTTGCAAACAGACTCAGGAAGGTAGGGGGAGAGTATGTTAAGAGCCATCGAAATCCTAGGCGGAGCTATTATGATGAATGTTTCTCAAGCTTTTTCTGGGAAAGGTGCTATTGAAATAGAAGGTAAAGCAGATGAATCCTTTAAAATTAACTTGATGCTATGTAGCTGTCAGAGTTTTATCTTTGGTGCTGTGGAAGTTTTGGTACCTCGTTCTTGGCTTAAACTGTAATTCTTGCTAAACCAGTTGGCATTGATCATTTAGCTTATAATTGTACAAATCTTGTTTTTATTTTCAGGGTGAAATGTAATTTTAGAGTAGTTGTATGAGGGACTTGTAGATTTTTTTACTCACTTTTTTTTTTCCAGTTGCCAGAGGGCATGTGCATTCACTAGGAAAAGGAAGAGAGAAAGCATCCCCCAGTGGGGTGTGGTCGTACTGCAGTCCTTTTTCCTCCCTTTCTTCATCCCATCTGTATTTTGGGAATGCATGCACATGTGTATGCTTAGCATATTTTTCACGTTGTTGGGGCAGGATTCGAACTGCAGTTGGCCTGGTGGAATCTGGCTCCCTGTGAATGGTGCTTAGCCACTGCACTACAGGGCTTGAGTAATTCTTTATATACCTTATTTTCCTAGACATGCTGTCTACCTTCATTTCCTCATTTTTTTGTTGTTCATGATAACATGAGCGTGTGTACACATATGCTCTTAAGAGAGAAGCACCCTCCAGAGGGCTTAGTCCCACCATGATCCCCTTCCAGTCCTCTAGCCCTCCAGGATCCAGGCCACACTCACGCCCAGTGTTTTCAGATGGGGCCAAGGATTGAAGTCACAGTCCACATATGACTTTCATCTCTGCAATCTAGCATGTAGAAGCTGGGCCTCATTGCCCAAATTTTGGCCAATAGTTAATAAAATAATCTGGAGTTAAAGATACAGGCAAGATAATTGTTTCCTTTAATTGCTCTGCCTTCATTCTTTCAAGCATTTAAGAAGTATATGGAAGAGCAGGATATTTGAACGTTTTATTCACTGTGGTATTCCCAGCGCCTAGCACAGGCCTCAGAGATGGTATTTAATAGATGTACATTGACTACAGGAATGCGGTTATTACTTATTTTGTTCATATTTTCATGAGTTCTCTTTATGTGTTCGGCAGAGTTTATGATGGAGTTTCATAGCATTTGCCTGCAATGTAGTATTACCTTTATACATACATATGCTGGATACCCCAGCCCTGTTGTTGGGCGTAGCAGGAGAGCAGCTGTCTTACTCTTTCTTGTGTCCCTTACAACAAATGAGACAATGTCTTGAATAAAGTAGATACCCTAGGAATGAAGAGCTACTTCTGGGCAATTAGAGACTCAGAGGTATGATTTGATCAGCTGGAGACCTAAGGATCTGATTTTATATGGCAGGTTTGATATTTGCTTTAACACATTCTTTTCCACACCCCTGATTTCTGGGAGCAGTTAATAGTGAAGAAACCTAAAGTTTGTGGAGTTGTTTTGTGGGGGACCCAGGGGAAGGACGTGTATATCTCTTCTTCTCACTCCAGATGAATCGGACAAAGGGTGATGAGGAGGAGTATTGGAATAGCTCCAAGTTCAAGGCTTTCACCTTTGATGATGAAGATGATGAGCTCTCACAGGTATGTTTCCACACACAACTGCTACATTGCACCCTCCCCAGTGCTAGTCTAAGGTTTCTTCCCCTTCTACTCTGGGGACTCTGGCTATTGACCACGTCTTCATTCAGCCGAGTAATGCTTTAGGTCAGATCTCATAGAAGACATGCCAATACACGGGCATACATGCCTGAAATCCCAAGAAGAGAATGAAGAAGAAACAGAAGCATGGTCAGCTCCCTGGGGGATGCTTTCTAGCTTTCTAGGTTTCTCCGTCTCTATCCAGTGAGTGCACAGATCCTCTGGGGGGGTGGGGGAAGACGGCCAACACTTTCATCTTCTGCAACTCTACGTTTAACCTACTAGATGTTTGCCAGTGAGTGAAACTGCTTTGTAGCCAACACTGCAGTCCACTGGAAAAAGAGTTAGGAGAAATCAAAATCACTTTTTCTTTCTAATTGTATTCTTGGCAATGATTTGCTGTGTAAACTAAGTGAATTTATTCACCTTTCCAGAAATGAGTCTGTATCCCAGTTGATAAAGCACACACACACTAAAATCTCCCAATTCAGTTCTTCTTTTAGAAATAAATTATATCAGGGGACCAGCAGATGACATAATGGTTATATTGCTGGACTCCCATGTAATCAACTGCGATTTAAGTCCCAGACCTGGTGGCTTGAAACTCATACCAGGTACGTGTGCTTGTATGACCGAAATCCCTAGAGGAGGACAAGGAGAAGGGATTATAGTGTGGCCACTCCTACTTGGGGGATGATTTCTCACTTTCTATCTCTTTGTGTCTCTGGCGAGTGCATGTGCCCTATGGCAAAAATTTCTCAAAAAAAAAAGATTCTAAAACCCAGCCCTCTGCCTTTCTTACTTTTCTTTTTCTTTTATTTTTTTTGAGAGGTTTTTGCTATAGGACACGTGTGCTCACCAGAAAGACAGAGAGAGACAGAGAGACAGAAAGTGAGAAATCACCCCCCACAGGGGGGATGGCCATGCCACAATCCCTTCTCCTCCAGTCTCCTCTCGGGATCTTGGGCATGCACTCACACTCCCGGTGTGAATTTAAGCCACTGGGTCCAGGACTTGAACCGTGGTCGACTACTTGGCAGTCCAGCAACATAGCCATTACACCAACTGCTGGTCCCTGGCTTTCTTACTTTTCCTTCTTAAGACAATTTATTCCTTGTTTCCCCTGCCTCCTCAATCTCAAGTAGTTTATTAATGTCATATATATACATACACACACACACACATACAGATATATATATATATATTTTTTTTTTTTTTGGTTATTTATCAAAGTGCATGTGCACTTGCCAGAGGGGTGGGGATGAGAAATCATTCCTTCATGAGAGTTGATCACACTGTGAATGCTTCTCCATTTCTCCTTCCTCTTAGGATTTTACACATGAGTACACTTGTGCCCAGCATGCTTTTCAAGCCATTGGATCTGGGACTTGAACTAAATGGTTGGCTAAGTGAGATCCAGCCACCGTAACTACTGCCATTGGCTGACATGATATCATTTATTTATTTTAAATATTTATTTATTTAATTTTATTTATTATTATAATTATTTTTCAGTTTGCTGTAGGGCTCATTTGCTCACCAAAAAGAGAGAGAAAACAAGTCGCAGGTACAGGACTCGAACCATGGTTGATCTTGTGGGAGTCCAGCATCCCAAGCACCATGCCACCTGCTGGCCCCATATATATATATTTTTTTAATCTTTTTTTTTTTTTTTTTGAGATTTTTGCTATAGAGCGTGTGCACTTGCCAGAGACACAGAGACAGAGAGACAGAAAGTGAGCAGTCATCCCTCAGTGGGGGTGACCATACTACAATCCCTTCTCCTCATCCTGCTCTAGGGATTTCGGTCATGCACTCACACGCACCTGGCATGAGTTTCAAGCTGCTAGGTTTGGGACTTGAACCACAATTGACTATGTGGGTGTCCAGTGATGTAACCATTATGTCATCTGCTGGTCCCCTGATATAATTTATTTCTAAAAGTAGAACTGAATTGGGAGATTTTTTTGTGTGTGTGTATCTGCTTTATCAATTGGGATACAGACTCATTTCTGGAAAGATGAATAAATTCACTTAGTTTACACAGCAAATCATTGCCAAGAATATGATTAGAAAGAAAAAGTGATTTTAATTCCTCCTAACTCTTTTGCCAGTGGACTGCAGTGTTGGCTACAAAGCAGTTTTGCTTCTTGGCAAACATCTAGTAGGACAAACGTTCAGTTGTAGAAGATGAAAGTGTTGGCCATCTCCCCCAAGGATCTGTGCACTCACTGGATAGAGACAGAGAAAGCTAGAAAGCATCCCCCAGGGAGCTGACCATGCTTCAGTCTCTTCTCCTTCATTCTTCTCTTGGGATTTCAGGCATGTATACCTGTGTGTCGGCATATTTTTTTCAAGTTCCCTGGTCCAGGATTTGAACCTTACAGTCAGCCATGAGGGATCTAGCCATTTTTTTTTTTTTTTGAAGAGGTTTTTTGCTATAGGGCACGTGAGCCTGCCAGAAGGACAGAGAGAGACAGAGAGACAGAATTTCTCTTCTCAAGATCTTGGGCAGGCACACACACGTGCCTGGCGTGAGTTTAAGCCACCGGGTCTGGGGCTCGAACCATGGCCAACTACATGGGTGTCCAGCTACATAGCCATCATGCCAACTGCTGGTCCCAGATCCAGTCATCCTAACCACCATGCCACAGGCTAGCCCAGTGTTGGCCATCTTCAAGGCCCAATTCCTCATCTTTCTTGGATGTCAGAGCAGAGAAGTGGTCTGAGTGCCCTGCCTTTTGTCTCTCTGCAGTTAAAGGAGTCCAAGCGGGCAGTGAATAGCCTTCGAGACTTCGTGGATGATGATGATGACGATGATCTGGAGCGAGTCAGCTGGAGTGGGGAACCTGTTGGGAGTAAGTAGAGAAGGCCTTAGGAGGGGATTGATGTGCAGAGTTCTTGCAATAATGAATACTCCTCCTGCCTATCTGCTCGGTACTAGTCAGGAATGAGATTAGACTGTTTTCAGAGGATCTGAAATCTGAACTGAGTGTTAATCTGGAAATTTAACTTCAAGAGAACATACTTAGGGAAATACAGCAGTAGTTCCAATATGGTAGCCTAGGTCTGCTGCTGTAGAGCTAAGGTTTGGTTGGTTATTTCAGACTCATTTGGGGTGCTTATTAAAATGACAGATTCTAGGTCTTCACCCTAGAGATTCTGATTTAGTAGGTCTTAAAAGAAGGGGGAAGGGGGATCTCAATTTTTTTTTTTTAAAAGAGGTTTTTGCTTTAGAGCGTGTGCGCTTGCCATGGAGAGAGAGATAAGGACAGAGAGGGAAAGCGAGAAATCATCCCCCATGGGGGATGGCCACAAAGCATTCCTGTTTCCTCCATTCTCCTCCTGGGATCTTGGGTACACATGCAAAACACTGTAGGCAATTTTAATATGTAATCATATTTGGGACCTACTGATTTGAATACTCTTAACTGATTGACAGACTGACTTCCTTACCCACCAAGTCTCACTACTTAGCTGTTAGATAAAACTCCTTAACACCTTTGCAGAGTCCATTTGATTTTTTCTTAATTTTTCAGAGGATAGGTGCTCTTCCAAGAGAGAGAAAGCAAGAGCAAGCGAGCGAGAGAGAGAGAAAGCATGAGAAAGCACTCCCAAAGGAAATGGCCATGTCATAATCCTTTCTCTTCCATTCTTCTTTTGGGATTTTGGGCAGACATGGACATGCGCCTAGTGTTTTTCACATCACTGGGTCTGGGACTTGAACTGCAGTTGGCCATGTGGAATCCAGCCACTTTATCTACCATACCACTGGCTGGCCCAGAGTTCATTTATTTTATGTCAAGGTTTTTTGTTGTTTTGCTATAAGGCATGTGCACTCACCAGAAAGAGAGAGAGAGAGTGAGAGAAAGTAGAAAGTCCCCCACCCCCCAGGAAGGATAATCTTGCCACAGTCCCTTCTCCTCTATTCTCCCCTTGGGGTTTTGGGCATGTGCACACATGTGTTGACATGATTTTGAAGCTATCAGTTCCAAGACTTGAACCACATGGTTGGCCACGTGTGACCTAGTTGTCTTAACTACCACACCATCAGCTGGCCCTAGTTCATTTCATTTTTAAGAAATACTTTTAGTTAAAAGGTTTGTTTGTTTGTTTGTGTTTTGGAGAGGTTTATGCTATAGGGCGCGTGTGTTTGCCAGAAAGACAGAGAGAGACAGAGAGACAGAAAGCGAGAAATCACCCCTCCAGGGGAGATGGCCACGCTGCAATCCCTTCTCCTCCGTTCTCCTTCCGGGATCTTGGGCACGCACGCACACGCGCCCAGCATGAGTTTAAGCCACCGGGTCCAGGTCTTGAGCCGCAGTCGACTACATGGGAGTTCAGCGACATAGCCATTATGCCAACTGCTGGTCCTATACCTTGTTCTTTTTATGTGATAATATATCAATAGCTTGGAGGTCTTTCCTTATCAGTATGTAAGGAGCTTTCTCATTCTCGCTCTTTAGCAGCATAGTACTATGTTGTATGAATTTACTGTAATTAATTTATCCATTCAATATTGAACTATAGATGTTTTCCTGTCTTTTGTTTTCTTTTTTTTTTTTTTGGAGAGATTTTCACTGTAGGGCGCGTGCGCTCGCCAGACAGACAGAGAGAGACATAGAGACAGAAAGTGAGAAATCACCCCCCAGGGGGGATGGTCACGCCACAATCCCTTCTCCTCCATTCTCCTCTCGGGATCTTGGGCACGCACGCACACGCGCCCGGCGTGAGTTTTTTAAGCCACCGGGTCCGGGACACGAACCGCGGTTGACTACGTGGGAGTCCAGCGACATAGCCATTACGCTAACTGCTGGTTCCCCTGTCTTTTGTTTTCTGTATGCTATCAATAATCTTATGTTATGGCTATATATGAGCAGAAGAAGAGTCAGTCCTTGGAGTGTGACAACTTAACATAGGATATTTGCATCTGTACTGGATTGATACTGCCAATTTGCCCCACACAGAGATTGTACCAATTTGTACTCCACCAGCGATGTAGAAGGGTTCCCGTTTCCTCACAGCCTTGCTGGCACTGAGTACCATCAAGCTTTTGGATCTTGGTCCACCTTACAGGGGACCAGTAGTATCTCATTGTTCTTTTAAGTTGTAATGATTTTTAAAAATGATTTTTAAAAAATGTTATTGGGTCCAGCAGGTGGTGTGGTGGTTCAAGTGTTGGACTCCTACATTGGTTCGAGTCCTGCTTGCAGTGGCTTTAAAATCATGCTGGGAACATGTGCGTATATGCCCAAAATCTGAAAACAAGAATGGAGAAAAAGGGACTGCAGTGTGACCATCCTCCCTGGTTCTCTGTCTCTGTCTCTCTCCAGCAAGTGTATGCACCTTATGACAACAAACCTAAAAATATATATTATTTATTTAATGGGAGGGAGACACATACACACACACACGCACAGGTACCCTTTGGCCCTTTGGGTTTCCTCATGTGGTGATCTCCTTCAGCCAGTCAGAATCTTGGTCGCGTGTGCCCTCAGCATGTTTCATGTTGACCTGGGATCCAAATCTGTGGAGCCAGGTGGCTCCCAGCACTGCAGCCTAGCACTGCAACTCGAATCCCAGCCCTAAAGGCTTGAAAAACATACTGGGTATGTGTGTGCATGCCCCACATCCCACAGGATGGCGAAGTGGAAGAGAAAGGCCCGTACTCTGTTGAGGGGATTCGTTCTCCCTCTCCTTTTCTCTCTGGTGAAAACACATGCCCTCTAGCCAAAACAAAACAAAACATAAACTTGAATATCTTTGTGTGTTTATAAACCATTTGAATTTCCTTTTTTTGTGATCCATCTGTTGGCTTGTCGGAAAGGTCATGACACAGTTTTGCCTAGAAAAATAAAAACAAAATACATCATGACTTTTCTGATCACCCAATGTTTATGTCCTTTGTCCATTTGTTTTGTTGTTGATTTGTCTATTTGATTCTGTCTTCCCTCTCTGCCCTATCGTGGCCAAGGGACCAGAGTCTCTGGTGAAGGCTTTTAGGGTTTCTTGGATATTGGATGGCAGGGATTTATTGGTTTTTTTTGGATGAGAATTACTGATTTAGTTCTTACTCTCTCACAGGTATCTCATGGTCCATCAAAGAGACTGCTGGTAGTAGTGGGTCAAACCATGAGGGGCGTGAACAGCTGAAGAGCCGAAACAGCTTCTCCTCCTACGCACAACTACCCAAACCTGCTTCTACCTACTCCCTCAGCAGCTTTTTTAGAGGTAAAGAGTGATGGTTAAAGGGACAGGGGGAAGCCCTCGTTTCCTTTTTTCAGAAAAATGCTCAAGCTATCATTTTCATTTATTCTCTAAGGAAAAGATTGTTGAGGGATAAGGAATTATTCCTAGGGCTGACAGCTGGGTATTAGGAGAGGGAGAAGTGAGAGAAATTCAGAGGGTTTGGACTGGATTTCTAGAGCATGATAAAATTGACATTAACTCCCTGGTAGGTACTGAAGGAGATAGCCTAGATCAGAATTTCTCCCTACTTGTGCATTGCTGGTGGGAGTGTGAAATGTGCTGCTGCAGTGGAAGGTAGTATGGCAATTCCTAAAGAAGATTAAACATGGAATGACCCTATGATCCAGCAATCTTACTTCTAAGTTCATGTCAAAAATAATGCATAGCAGGGACTTGAACAGTTATCTGTACACTATATTCATAGCGGCATTAGTCATAATAGCCGAAAGATGGAAATGACCCAGGTATCCATTAGAGGAAGAATGGAAAAATCACCTGTGCCATATACATGCAGCGGAATATTCGTCAGCCTTAAAACAGAAGGAAATTCCAACACATGCTACCGTGTGGATGAAGCTTGATGCTATGCTAAGTAAAATAAGATAGAAAAAGGATAAATATTTTATGATTTCCTTGACATGAGATACCTAGAAATAATCATATTTATAGAGATAGAAACTAGAATGGTGGCTACCAAAGGCCAGGGGGAAAGGGGAAATGGAGAGTTATTGATTAATGTCTATAGTCGTAGTTCAGGATGATGAAAAAGTTCTGGAGATGACTAATAGTGATGATTGTACAACAGTGTGAGTGCATTCAATTCCATTGAATTATGCACTTAAAAACTGGTAAAAATAGTAAAATTATGTTATATACTTTACCACAGATTTAGAAAATGTTTTTCCTGTCCTTTTTTTTTAATGGCACCTCAGATTTCTGAAGTTGAATAAAAGCCTTAAGGACAGCCCGTCCTTAAGCTAGTCTAGATGGCTCTGACTTGAACTTGACCTCTTAACCTCTTGTGTTTTTCACTTTTAGGTAGAAACAGACCTGGAAGTTTCCAGTCCCTTTCTGATGGTAGGCATTTGACTCTCTTGTCTTATTGCCGTAGGAGATGCTACTGATCTGAAATACAGTCTGGGAGGTCATGGGAATTAGATGACTCGATGAACTTTCTGAGTGTACTATCGATAGTAGAGAAATGATGGTCGAGTAAGGAGGCTAAAATCACTGGTAAAAAACACACATGGCTACTGGGCATAGTGCGATTTCTAGGAAAACTGTCTAGGGGAAAACTGAGATCTACTTTTGAACTATAAAGCTAAAAAAAAAATGTGTGAAAGGAAGCAGTAGAGAAAAGGGTTGACAAAAGCAGGACTCATGGTGTTTTTCTGAGTAAGCTGCCTCTTCTTTTTTAGCTCTGTCGGATACACCTGCCAAAAGCTATGCTCCAGAGCTTGGGAGACCCAAGGGGGAGTATAGGGTGAGTTATATCTTATACCCATGTGATGCTTTAGACAGTATAAAGTACCTTGATATATGTTATCTTGCTTGATTTTTCCAACTCTTTGAGCAAGTGTTATTTTATTCTCTTTACATACATACATACATGCATACTAGATTTTCAAACACTAGGATTTGCCCCGAGTTTCACAGCTAAGATAGGGTGGAATTTGGACTCAAAAATCTGTTTTCTGACTCAGTCTTAGCATACGTTTCCTTACCCATTATGCTGCTTTTGGAAAATTGTACTGTGTAACGCAGTGATTATTGCCATCATCTGGAAGGTTGGTAGAGCTCATATTTCCATGAAGCCTATGAAAAAACAAATTGATTGATAAGGAAGAAACCATCTGTGTTCTTTCTCCCCCCCATTTTTTTTTTAAAGTGCTTACTCACTTATTTCTTCCATGAGAGAGAGAGAGATAGACAGATGTAGGTACTCCCAAAGAATCTTCAAGCTGTGATCCATCTCCAGTCTTAGCTGGTCTGGATCATGGGCACATGCGTGTCCACCCAGTACGTGTAGGAAGGTCCGGGTATGCAAATCCAGGACTCTCCCATGTAAGTCTAGTTGTGTTACCATTGTGTCATTGCCTGGCCCTAAGAAACCATATTCTAAGGTCAGAAAAAGAACATGTCTCAAGTATCTCTCTCTTTTCTTCTGTTGACCAAAGGCATTGATTATTAGGATCCCTGCTATGACTTTGATTGCATCTAGACATTAAAACCTGTATCTGCATAATCAGTAGGCATGGTAGTATTAGTTTTGTCAAATGGTTCATCCCTGTTTGATCCATCACGTCTTACCCATATTGATCCTGCTCTAGTTCCTTCAGAAACTCAAAGTAAAACCATCCAGGTCTTCCTTTTTTCTCATTCATTCCCTCTCACAAAATATTGCCCCCTTAGGGACTGGTGAAGAGTTAGTCCCTTCACGTCCCGGGTTTCATGTGTTGCTGATATTTCAGGATTACAGCAATGACTGGAGCCCCAGTGATACCGTGCGACGCCTCCGGAAGGGCAAGGTATGACCACTGGGGAGAGATTCTCATGAGATTCTTTGGGTAACTGGGCAGCTTGTTTCAACAGGGAGGATGAGTGCTCCAGATCCAGTGGGCTAGAGAACCAGAGAAAGGGGCTTTTGGTGTGACCAAACCTGTGGCATGGCTTCTCTCTCTCTCTCATGTTTTCTCATACTCAAATGCATGCACACGCACACAAACTTTATCCTGAATTATAAAAATTAAAAAAAAAAAGCTGAGGGCCAGCAGATGGCATTATGGTTACATTGCTGGACTTCTGCATAGTCGACTGCGGTTCGAGTCTCAGACCCAGCAGCTTAAAACTCATACTGGGCACGTGTGTGTGCATGTCCAAAATCCCAAGGGAAGGATGGAGGAGAGGGGATTGTGGTGTGGCCATCTCTCCTTAGGAGTGATTTCTCGCTTTCTGTCTATCTCTTTGTCTCTTCAGTGAGCGCACATGCCCTATAGCAAAAATCTCCCTTAAGAAAACAAAAAAGACAGCTGATTGCATGGTAGTTAAGGTGGCTGACTGAATCCCACATGGCCAAATAAGTATGAATCCTAGTCAGTAAGTTAGAATGCTAGTCCCAGCAGCTTGAGAAATACGCTGGGTGTGTGTGACCAGAATCCTGAAGAAGAAATTGAGGAGAAGCAATTGTGGCATGGCCATCTTCGCTACGTGGGATGTTTTCTCACTTTTTTTCTCTTTCTCTCTCTTCTGTGAGCTCATGTGCCCTCTCGCCAAAAAGAAAAAAAAAAAAGAAAAAACCTTTCTCTTATGTTTAGATCTATAATCCATTGTGAGTTGATATTTGTATATGGTTGCAAGGTAACGGTTAAACTTTTTGTATTTAAAAAAATTATTTAACTTTATTTATTATTATTATTATTTTCCAGTTTGATCAGAGAGAGGGAGAGAGAGAAAGTGAGAAAGCAAGCTACCAGGTCCAGGACTTGAACTGCAGTCAGCCATGTGGGAGTCCAGTCCCTTTAACCACCACGCCACCTGCCAGCCCCTGTTATTTTCCCTCGTGTATCAAATGTATGCCCTGAGCATCAAGGAAGAGTCAAAGGGCAGCTTCTTTGAGGATGAACAGTAGCCAGGTTAATTTCTCTCTTAATGTATAGAAAACAGAATGTGCAGTGTATATCCTGGAGGGAAATTTCACATGGTGAAAAACTCACTATGATATAGAAGAATTAACAAGTAAAAAGAGAACAATCTAAGGCAGAAAAAGTCAGAATTTTTGCAAAAATGCAAAACAGACCAATTGGAAGCCAGTGTCCTCAACTCAAAAACAGTGGGTTGTTCCTAAGGATCAGTTTACTGTAGTTTTGAGTGAAAGTTTCTGGTTTCTTTAATGTGTCACTTACTTTATACAAAACACAAAGTTAAGATATGATTACCATGTATCTTTGACTTGATAATTCTTTTTCTTTTTAAGAGAGATTTTCCCTATAGGGTGCATGCATTCACCAGAGAGACCGAAAGCGAGAAATCACCCCCCCAGGGGGGATGGCCACGCTGCAATCATCCCTTCTCCTTTCTCCTCTCGGGATCTTGGGCACGCATGCACACATGCCCAGCGTTTTAAGCCACCGGGTTCAGGATGCGAACCATGGGAGTCCAGCGACATAGCTATTATGCTAACTGCTGGTCCCAGGAAGCTTATTCTTTATCCATGGAATTAGTTTGTTGCCTTGTCCATATATGCATATATCTATTACTGGACTTTTTGTTTTAGATCATTGATTTATTTGTCTTATTTTTCTTACATCAGATTCCACAGTCTTGATTATTGTAGCTTTATAGTATAACTTGAAATCAGATAATTTCAACTTTGTTGAGATTTTCAACCTTCAACTGTGTTCTTTTCCAAAATTGTTTTAGTTATTCTTGATCCTTTATATTTCCATATAGATTTTAGCATCAGCTTGTCAGTGTTTACACCAGAGCTGTTGATTTTCATTGGGATTTTATTAAATATGTTGATCAATTTTGGTAAAATTGACATCATAATAATTAATGGATCAAAATGGGTCATAGACATGTTATAATAAGTGCTAAAACTTTGAAATTCCCAGAAGGAAATGTAGGTGAAAATATTTGTGAGCTTGAATTAAGCAAAGATTTATTACCTATGATACAAAAAGCATGAGCTATAAGAGAAAAATTGATAACTTTATCAAAATTTAAAATGTCTGTTCTTTGAAAGCACTGTTAAAAATTAGAAAACACTTGGCCCAATGGTGAAGGCAGCTAGGTCCCACGAGGCCAACTGCACAGAAACGCACTAGGTACATGTGTGTGTGTGTGTGTGGTCAAAGTCACTAGTGGAGGGGGAAATGGAGAAAGGATTAACAGGTGACTATCCCCCATAGGGGGAGCTTTCTCACTTCTCTTTCTCTCTCTCTCTCTCTCTGTCTCTGTAGTGAGTTTATGCACTCTCTAGCAAAATTTAAAAAAAGAAAAAGGAAAAGCAAGACCACTGAAGTTGTGAAAAATACTTGAAAGTTGTGTACTTTAGAAAGGACTTTTATCCAGAATATATATCACTGATAACAATAGTCCAATAAGAAACTGATACAAGATTTGACCAGATACCTCACCAAAGATACATAAATGACTGATACGAGTACTTGGAAAGATTTTCAACATTATAGTTATGAACAAAATGTGAATTTAGCCATGAAACACCACTATATAGCAACTAGAATGAATAGAAAGACTGATCAAAAGGGTAGGTGACACAGCAATTTCTTTTCTTTTTTCTTTTTCTTTTTTTTTTTTTTTTTGAGAGGTTTTTGCTGTAGGGCGCTTGTGCTTGCCAGAAAGACAGAGAGAGACAGAGAGACAGAAAGCGAGAAATCACCCTCCATGGGGGATGGCCACGCCGCAATCCCTTCTCCTCCATTCTCCTCTCAGGATCTCGGACATGTATACATACGCGCCTGGTGTGACTTTAAGCCACCGGGTCCAGGACTCGGACTGCAGTCAACTACGTGGGAGTCCAGTGACATAGCCATTATGCCAACTGCTGGTCCCGAAATTTTTTTTTATTTTGAGAGGTTTTGCAATAGGGTGTGTGCACTCACCAGAAAGACAGAGACAGAAAGTGAGAAATCACCCCCCCGGGGGGATGGCCACACCGCAGTCCCTTCTCCTCCATTTTCCTCTCGGGATCTTGGGCACGCACGCACACATGCCTGGCATGAGTTTAAGCTACTGGGTCCAGGACTTGAACCATGTTCGACTACATGGGAGTCCAGCGATATAGTCATTATGCCAACTGCTGGTCCCTAATATAAGAAATTTAAACATATAGTCCTATAAAGATTGGTACACAAATGTTCATAGTAACTTCATTCATAAAAGCACGCAAAGTGGAAACCACCCTACTAGCCATCAGCAAGTATAATAAATGGGTAAGCTGGTATGTTCATACAGTGGAAAATGACTGGAAAATAAATGAAGGCAAACAACTAATATACCTGGTTTATCTCAGAAACATGATTTCGAGTGAAAGAAGCCAGATAAAGCAAAGTATATATTATATACTTTTATTCACTTATTTTTCTTCCTTTTTCTTTCTTTTTGTAAGAGAGACAGGTACCATTGACAGGGTCTTGCCACACCGAGAGTCTCCCTCTTTGAGCCCTCTGGCTTATCAGGATCCTGGGTATATACCTGTTTCAGGCACGTTTCAGGTTGACTCGAGATCCAAACCTGTAGTTGATCACATGGCCTTCCCCGCTGCTGAGTAGTAAGCTACTCGTGGCCTTTGCCTTGTCTGCTGGCCTTTTGTTCCAGTTTTTGTTTTTTCAGTTTATCTCTTCCTTGAGTGTTAGAGACAGAGACAGGATTCCCACCAGGATCACGCTATGGACACCGAGGTTCACCGCCAGCACATTCGTGCCCGTCACACTCAGAGGTCTCCAGTGTAAACTGGGCACTTTCCCATGTACCTCAGCCTCACAGAGTCATGTTTTACCGCTTTGCCATTATCCTGCCCTATGATTTTAGTTTTGAGAGTCTAGAAAAGACAAAACCATGGTAACTAAAAAGAGAGGAGCAGTTGGCAGTGGATGGGGATTGGAGGAAGACATTAATGTCAAAGTGTCAAATATCTTAATTGTGTTAGTGGTTACATGAATGTGTGCACTTGTCAAAACTCACAGAACCAAACAAGTTGGATGGATTTTTTTTTTAAGTTTTTTGCTATAGGTCACATGCACTTACCAGAGAAAGGCAAAAGCAGGGGGTGGGGAGAGTGAAAAATCAGCCCCCAGGGGTTATGGCCAAACTACATTTCCTTCTCCATTTTCCTCTTGGGATTCTGAACACACATGCACACACACATGCCCAGTGTGATTTCCAAACTGCCAGGTCCAAGACTTAAGCCAGAAACCGATATGAGATCCAGCTAGCTTAACCTCCATACCACCTGCTGGCCCCAAATTGAGTGAATTTTGTATTTATTTATTTATTAAAAATTTGTTTTATTTAACTTTATTTATTTACTTATTTTAATTTGACCAGAGAGGGGACAAAATGAGAGGCAGAGAGAGAAACAATGAGAAAGCAAGCTGCCAGGTCCAGGACTTGAACTGCAGTCGACCATGTGGGAGTCCACTACCCTTAACCATCACGCCACCTGCTGGCCCCAAATTATACTTTATTAATAAAAGAACAAGCAATCGCTCTTTTTTCAAAATAATTATTTTATTTAACTTTATTTATTTTTTAATTTGACCAGAGAGGGGACAAAATGAGAGGCAGAGAGAGAAACAATGAGAAAGCAAGCTGCCAGGTCCAGGACTTGAACTGCAGTCGACCATGTGGGAGTCCACTACCCTTAACCATCACGCCACCTGCTGGCCCCCATGATCTCTCTTGACTTTGTCAACACCTCAGGACATTAGCTTCAGATAGGTAATCAGACTGAATTAGGGAGGGTGTGGTGGGAACCTGCTGTTTCATGAGAGTGCTAGGTACCGTTGTGAAAGGTAAAGAGGCTCACTTGGGGATGTTCCCTTTCATTGTCTGTCCGTCAGTATTCAGAGACAAAGGCACATAGAAGACTATCTTTTTCCTTATGTATTCTTTTCTTTTTTTTTTTTAAAATAGAGCCTTGGGTTTTGTTTTGTTTTGTTTTTTAAGAGTTATTTTATTTACCTGTTATTATTCAATTTGACCAGAGAGAGACAGAGAGAGAGTGAGAAGGCAAGCCGCCAGGTCTGGGACTCAAACCACAGTTGGCCATGTGGGAGTCTAACACCTTAAACACTATGCCACCTGCCAGCCCCTAATTCTTTTATTATTCTTTCAGGTCTGCTCACTAGAAAGATTCCGCTCCTTACAGGACAAGCTTCAACTCCTAGAAGAGGCAGTTAGCATGCATGATGGAAATGTCATTACCATGGTGAGTTGTAGAGAGTGTTTTATTTTTCTTGTTTATTGATTTTATTTGTTTCTGAAAGTTCAGTCAAAATAGATTTAGCATTTTGGGCTAAATGTCAAGTAATCATTTTGGATATTAGATTCTCAGTAATCCCTGCTCCAAGGCTCAGCTGATAGGACATGCATTGTGTGTGGAACTTTTGATCATAACCAAGGAACCAAAGTTGGCTACTGTGTTATGAAAAATAATAGGAGGGGGGGCAGCTCCATAATGTAGTGGTTAAGCACTCTGCATGGGGAACCAGATCCCACATCGTTGGTCATAATTTGAATCCAGGCCCCAGTGGCTGGAAAATGTGCTGGATGGGTGTGCATGTATGTCCAGAATCCTGACAGGATGGAGAATTTGGAGGGAGGAGAATTGCAGCATGACCACAGTTGGCGGGTGCTTCTCTCTTCCTCTGGTAAGCCTAAGTACCCTCTAACAATTAAAAATATCTGAGGGAAGAGAAATATGAGAGAGTCTCTTTCAGAAGGCAGTGTCTCAGGGTCTTAGCCCATAGAGGCACGTGGACTTCCAAGATAGTTCAGTTCAAGATGTTCATCACTTCTCCCTCCATCACACCGTGGAGAGATCTGTTGTCTACCTGTGAAAATTCCTAATGAGTTGCTGGCCTCATCCCTAGATATCAGGTGCTCAGGTGAGGGCTTCTTGTTTGAAAGAAAGGTTGTACATTCTGTGTTTTCTTTTCCTGTAGGTTTTGATCTTCCTGAAGAGGACACTGAGCAAAGGTGAACACAGTTTGAGAGACATCTGTAGTCAGCAAACTGCGCCATGTTTGAGGGGAGAATGTTGTGTAGCTTTCATAGCAGAACTCATCAGTGTCAAGTATATTTCAGATAGCCATGGTGGCCCGAGACTTCAGAGCACACATCACATCTCAGAGGACATCCTTTAGAATGATGACTCCATTAAATACAAAGCCCTCCTATTTATTACACGGATAAATTACTTTGTTGGTTTGAGAAGTCAGAGTCTATACTAAGTTCCTGCCCTTTGGGTTGATGGGAAGCTGACCCAGTGGCTGTGAGCCGCCCCCATCTGTGTTAATGGCGGATTGAGACATGGGGCTAAACCCTTCTTAGCTTCTGCTAGGCTTTGAGGAGATAATGTCTGGGATGTGTGAGTGAGGAGACCAATTTCACGCTTGAGTAATCGGCTTAAATCTTTCTCCACCCAATTCCTTCCTGTCCGCCAGAGATCCTCTTCCGAGAGCTGGAGGTGCGACAGGTTGCCCTGAGACATCTCATCCACTTCCTTAAGGAAATAGGGGACCAAAAGCTGCTTTTAGACCTCTTCAGGTAGGAACTGGTTGGTCTATTAAGTTTACCCAAGTTTACTCTTTCAAAGTACTCTGGAGATACCTTTTCTGAAAGACTGGTGTGGTGCACACCTGTCTTGGGAGGCTGGGAAGGAGAATTGCAACATAGCGAGACCCTGTCTTTTTATTTTTTTAAAGTCCTCTAGGGATACAAAAAAGAGAAGATACTGTTCTTTTTTTTTTGGAAACACTTAGAAGACAAGATACTGAAACATGATAGGATAACAGACAATATGTCACAGCCTGTGGTCATGTGACAGTATAGCCGGGTAGTTAGGAACCGTGCTCTGGAGTCAAACACACAGACTGATTTCTGGCTCTGCCACTTAGTTTACTGAGCCAGGTACCTAGCATCTGTAAAGTGGGGCTGATGATACCTAACCCGTAGGTCATTATGAAGGTGAAGATGTTAATGTGTGAGTTAGCACTCGGTATAATGCCTGGTCTGTAGTGCTCATCAGTATTTATTCAGCATTTTCTTATAAAAGACCTAGGATGAAGGTATTTTTATTGTTTGGTCCCACGAAATGCCAGTGGGAAGTACTGTGGAAGAAGAGAAGAAGAAAATACAATTTTTAGTCAGGATAGCTAAGGAAAGTCCCACGGAAGTGGTTCGGATTTGAATTGGGCCTGAGATTAGGTAGAATGCTGACAGGTGATAAGTAGACATCTCTGCTGGGAGGAAAAGGGGTGGGGGTGGTCTTCTATCCTGTTTTTCTTCTCTTTCAATTGCCAGAAGGCACTTGAGAGCGAGCGAGAACCCTGTAATAGAACATGGTCACACCATATGCCGTTCATTTCTCCACGCTTTTGGGACTTCAGACACATGTACATCTGGCACATATACATTAAGCCACTGGAGACAGGATTCAAACCACAGTCAAGTGGGGTCTGACCACTACAGGGCCAGCCCTAGATTTTTTGTTTTTAAAATTATGTATTTAATTTTATTGATTATTATGATTTTTAAATTTGCTGTAGGACATGTGCACTTGCCAGAGAGAGATGGGGGGTCGAGGTGTGATGAGAAAGCAAATTGCAGATTGAGGACTTAAATCGCTGTCGGCCATGTGGGAGTCCAGCACCTTAACCACTACGCCACCTGCTGGCCCCTGTGTTTTTCTTTCTTAGCTCATTCCAGTCAGTGAGGACTACTTCTCATCTTTGGATTTAAGTATATGTCTATGATACCCTTTATTCAGTGTCGAGGAAGGGATGTGAACCTCTCTTGAGGCTATCATGTGATCCTGGGTAACTCCAGTTACCCAGTGACTCCAGCCCAGTGACGAACCGCTCCAACGCCTAAGGTAGGGAAGACAGGTGCTATACAGGTTCTATAGTCAGGGTCAAGGGGGGCTGAGGCAGGAAGATCATGAATTTGAAACCAACCTGGGCAACATATGGAGAACCTGTGTCTTTTTTTTTTTTTGGTGGTGGTGGGGGAGATGTTTTTGCTATAGGAACGTGCACTCGCCAGAAGGACAGAGAGAGACAGAGATGTACATATACTTAACACCTCCTAGTAGCTTGAAAATCATGCCAGCAGGACCAGCAGATGTAATGGCTATGCCGTTGGACTCCCTCGTAGTCTACCACGGTTTGAGTCCTGGACCCGGTGGCTTAAACTCTTGCTAGATGCATGTATGTGCCCAAGATCCCAAGAGGAGAATGGAGGAGAAGGGACTATGGCATGGCCATCCCTTTTTGTGTCTCTGGTGAGCGTACATGCCCTATAGCAAAAATCTCTTTTAAATAAAAAACAAACAAACAAATAAAACCTGTTACAGTTGGTTAGCCATGATTTTGTAAAAGAATACATGCATGGAGGGAGACTGTTTCCTTCTCTCTCCTAAGCCTTTCTTCTCAATCCACAGGGCTTTATCAAGCATTACTTCCCTGCCAAAGCAATGATGTTAGTTATGGTGGTCTGTCCAGAGTAAGGGGGAGTCAGAAGACCAAAGTCCTGTGTTCCACAGCCTTACCTAAGCCTCTGGGAGAGACAAAACACATTGCACTCCGTATATGAGAGCAATAAAGAACCCTATGGAAAATCTGTTTCCAAGATGGTGTTGCCAGAGAAGAATGTTTTAATCTTTCCCCAAAATACTGTTACTACAGGCTAGAGAGTAGGTTCTGTGGAGGCTCTGAGTCTTTCCATCAGATCTGCTAACAATACAAAGGTTTTAGTGCCCTCCAATGCCTTCTTGTCCTTTCTAGAAAGAACGAGGAGGGCTGGCTCCATGGCCTGCTGGGTCAGGCAGTGGGATCTCACATGGCCAACCGCATGATTCAAGTCCTAGACCTAGTGGTTTGAGAAACATGCCGGGTGAGTGTGTATGCGTGCCCAGAATCTCGAAAGGGAGAGCAGGGGTTGGAGTGTGGCCCATACCTGCAAGGGGTGCTTTCTCTTCTCCCTCTCTGTCTCTAGCAAGTGTACGTTCCCTAGCCAAAAAAGGAAAGACGGGGGAACAGTAATACCTGAGTCACCTTGTGTTTTCAAGTGATTGTTGGTGGTAGAAAGTTTAAGAAGAGAAGAGTTGGTCTTGTACAGGGGAAGTGAGTTTAAATTGTGTTTCTGCTAAAGCAATCATTATATTTTGGGTGAGGTTATACTGCCACACAATAATTAAAAATGTCCTCCTCCCTTCTGCTTCTTCCCAGGTTCCTAGATAGAACAGAAGAGCTTGCGGTAAGTGCGTCCTTTGTTTTATTTGGGGACCTGTTTAGCAGAACTCTAAGCCAAAGCCCAGTCTCCAAGATCCTAGACCGATTGAACTATTTCCTTTCATTTAGTATTAATTATAACCAGGAGAGTCAGGGATCTGGGAAACCTGAAAACTTAAACGACATATTGTTCGGTTTCTTTTTATATACTCTTTTGGTTGGACTTACGAATGATTTCTTTTTACATAAAAGAGTGAATATTGGCCTAATGGATCTGTAACTTGTTTTTTAGTCTCACTTTATAGGGGTATTTGTATTTCAGCTTCTAACACTAAAGAAAACGTTGAAAGCCAAGAGGATAAGAAACCTGAAATATATCAGGAAGGAAGCTATGTCAAGCTGATGGTGCCCCCAGGACACATTTTGGCCAAGAGCTCTATAGCCCAGTGTTAAAATGGATTTTTAGCAGATTTTTACAATCATAGAATGTACTCCTGCATTATAGAAATAAATCTGAAATTTTACCAAAAACTTAATTGTGTTGGGCCCGTCAGTTGGCCTAATGGCTGTGTTGCTAGACTCCCATGTAGCCAACTGCAGTTCAGATCCTGAACCTAGTGGCTTAAACTCATGCTGGGCATGTGTGTGTACATGCCCAAGATCCCGAGAGGAAAATGGAGCAGAAGGGATTGTGGAATGGCCATCCCTCCTGGGGTGTGATTTCTCACTTTCTGTCTTTCTGTCTCTTTCTGGTGAGAGCACATGCCCTCTCCTAAATAAATAAACAAACAAACAAATAAATAAATGTAATTAAAAAAAAACCTTAATTGTATTATTTAAACTTTAGTGATCTATTTTTAAAAGCTTGACATTACAGTACAGGAATAAGAATTCCCTAGCACTGGGGCCAGCAGATGGCTTAATGGTTATGTCACTGGACTCCCATATGGCTGACTACGGTTCAAGTCCCAGACCAGTGGCTTAAGGATCACGTGGGGAGCATGTGTGTGTGTGCCCAAGATCCCGGGAGAAGAATGGAAGAGAAGGGACTGTGGTATGGCTATTCCCTCTGGGGGGTGATTTCTCATTTTCTCTCTCACTTTCTCTGTCTCTGTCTCTCTCTGGAAGGAACACACATGCCCTAAGGCAAAAACCTCTGAAAAAAAAGAATTTCCCAGCACTGTCAATAGCAGGATGATCCTTCAGTGGTTGTTCTGCCCCTTCGTGATGATATTGATGCACAAATTCAGCTGGTAGATTTAATAATATTAACCTTTGCACAGCAGAATGTAATTCAGGAAAGTGTTTCACAGTAGCACTTTTTTTTTTTCTAAATCACTTGTTTTTCTAATTATTTCATTCCATCTATTTATTATAATTTGATCAGAGAAAGAGAGAGAAAGTGATAAAGCAGGTCTCCAGGTCTGGAGCTCTAACCGTGGTTGGCATGTGGCAGTCTAGTGCCTTCACCACTACTCCACTTGCTGGCCCCAGTAGCATGTTTTCTAAAAGGAAGTTGTACTTACTGTCCAAGGTACCAGAAAATATGAAATATCCTTTATCTTAATTTTTGGGAAATGATGGGCAGTCTCTTTGAAAAAAGCTTTTTGTTTATATTTTAAATCTCCATTGGTTCAAAACTATAAATTTTCTTTATATAGCATATTTATAAAGTTTGTTTTGAAGTTTGATTAGTGAAACTAGTAAATATATTTTAGATAATACATTTTAAAAAATAATTATTTAATTTTATTCATTGTCATTATTTTATTGTTTTGTTTTTTGTTTGTTTGTTTGTTTTTTGGGTTTTTTTTAGAGGTTTTTGCTATAGGGCGCATGTGCTTGCCAGAAAGACAGAGAGAAACAGAGAGATAGAAAGCAAGAAATCGCCCCTCAGTGGGGATGGCCATGCCACAATCCCTTCTCCTCCATTCTCCTCTTGGGATCTTGGGCACGCACGCACACACGCCTGGCGTGAGTTTAAGCTGCCGGGTCCGGGACTCGAACCACAGTCGACTACATGGGAGTCCAGTGACATAGCCATTACGCTAACTGCTGGTCCCATACATGTGTTGGCTCTTAAGAGGATATGCTGTTCTTCCTAAAGCCATTTCATTCTTTTAATATTTGTAATAACTCTTCATCTGTTTCTCAATTCTCGGAATATTTCTAGTAATTGTGTATGAAATTACAGCTTTTACAGTCATCCCTAATTATTGTAACATTTAACTCATATATTAACAGATAGAAATTCATGCTTGTTATCATTCAGAATTTCAAATAGAAGGCACATAAGGGAATTTTCTTCAGGTTATATGTAGAATCTATAATCTGTGAATGTGAGTATTTAGCTCTGAAAAGTGGTCCAGAATGACATGCCCCATTTACTGATAATGTGTTTTGTTAGATATTTGCATTGTCCTTCTATCGCTGATCGGATACATGGTCAAGGATGCCAGAAAAGACAGTGAAATAGACGTGTAGCTCTCTAGTCTTCCAAAAGATAATGCTGGGGTGTGCTCAGAGCAGGGGACCTCAAGAATGGGTCCTCTGTTTATAACACACCCAACAGAAATCTGGGATCATGATGTTAAGGGACACAAAACTTGTAGCCTCCCTATGAACAAATACCATACAAGTGTCCCTCCTGTACCGCCGCCCCATGGCTTCTAGACTCGACCAATGGGACAGGCCTCAGAACTGGAAGAAAACAGCAGTAATTATGGAGGAGGTTGCTATCTAGAGCCTGTCCAATCCATGCGTGGGTGGATAAAGGCTTAGAACCTCTCTTTAAAAAAAAAAAGGCTGAAGCAAAATAGCTGGTTTTAGTTAGAAACTGAGGCTAAAGACACACTTTGAGGTAAAGTTAGGATCTCTGTGTACTTAGTGCTTCATTATCAGTCAGCACTGACCAGTAGAACTCCCTATGGTGATAGAAATCTCTGTATTTGTGCTGTATAGTATGGTAGCCACTAGTTACATGTAGCTGTGGAGTGCTTAAAAACTGGCTCATGCAGGACCAGCAGAAGTGTAATGGTTATGTCATGGACTCCCACAGTTGACTGCGCTTCAGGTCCTGGACCTGGTGGCATAAAACTCATGTCGGGCGCCTGTGCATGCATGCCCAAGATCCTGAGAAGGGATTGAGGAGAAGGGATTGTGGCTCAACCATCTCCCCGGGGTGGGGGTTGGGGGTGATTTCTTGCTTTCCGTCTCTGTCTCTCTGGCGAGTGCACATGCCTTATAGAAAAAAATCTCTTTTAAAAAAATGGCGGCTGTGACTAAGGACTTGCATTTTTATTTAATTAATTTAAATTTAAATAAAATCATAATGACTAGCAGGTACTACATTAGACAATACGGTTAGAGATAAACCTGTTAATGCTTTTGAATTATCGCCTGCTTCCCCCTTCTCTCAGTGCACATATAACCATCCACACCCAAAAAGAATCTTTGAAAATGAAGAATTTGTGTTTTTTTTAAGAGCATAGAGAGTCTACTTTGCCACCCTCTTCTAAAGACACAAAATAGCTCAAAGCCTATCTTTCTTTTTTTTGTAGCTATCCCATTATCGAGAACATTTGAACATTCAGGACCCTGAGAAACGTAAAGAGTTTCTTAAGACCTGCATTGGGTAAGTATGGGAGAAAAATGGCATCGAGTATAAATGTCTTTAGTCAGAGAAAACGAAAAGAGTAGAAGAGGCTGGAATGGACAGGTAGGAGGGGAAAGGCTAGCAGTGAGTCAAACAAGCATCATTTGAAGGTCTTCTTATTCATTGTTTCTCAAGCTCTAGTTCCCAGCAGAGTTTTCACTGGTGGTAAACTAAGAACAATAAAGACACTGGTCAGTCTTTTTTTCTAATGGCAAATTTAATTTGAAAGACTTTTTTATTCTGGAATTTACGCTATCTCTCCCTTCTTTTTAGTAATAAGCGGGTTGTAATTTTTTTATGACTTTCATTGGGTAAAAACTTGGCAATACTTTATGAGAAAGCCTTACATATTTTTGTATCAGGTTGTCAGGAAAATCATGGTGTATTTTTATATGAAAGATATGTCATGACTTTCCTGACAGCCCAATAAATGTTACTGGTCTTTGAAACTCCAAAGTCCAACAATCACTGACCCAGTATAAACTTTTACCCAGAATATAAATCTTTGTAAAACCCAGCCCCAGATATTATTCCTGGGTTAGACTGCACACTATTTATTTTATTGTTGAGAAACTCTCATTATTAGAAAGTGCTTCCTATGTTAAGCTAAAACTTGCTTTCCCGCGTCTTTGAAGACATGTATAGCACCTCCTCAGTGTTTCTTCCTGTCCCAGGTTCAGTGTTCATAGTCATTTCAGTCATTCCTCATGTGACATGATTTCCAGGCTTCATATTTAGAAATTTGAGTAATTTGGGGCTGGCAGGTGGCGTGGTGGTTGAGAGCGCTGGATTTCCACATGGCCAACCACACACAGTTCGAGTCCTGGACCTGGTGGCTTGCTTTCTCACTTTCTCTCTCTCTTTCTCTCTCTCTCTCTGTCTCTGTCTCTCTAACTTTGTCCCTCTCTGGTCAGATTTAAATAAATAAATAATAATAAAGTTAAATAAAATAATTATCTTAAAAAAAAAGACTTGAGAAATTTTTTATGTCAATGAAATCCTTATTTTTTATGGCAAATAAATCCTTTATCCCCCCCCCCCCATTTATGGTAGAGCACATGCACAAAAGAAAGAGAGCTGTGAGCACCCCCACAGTGTCTGGTCACGCCATGTTCCCTTCTTCCTCCTCCAGCCCACCAGATTCAGGCACTTGCACGCATGCTTCAGGCAGAGTAGGCTGAGTATTTGAACCACAAGATGAATTCTGGCTTCTCTTGAGCAATGCATCACCACCACCAGCTCCAAATATTTAATTTTAATGTTAGCAAATACTGAGCTATACCATATGGCCTCTGAAAAACAGAAAAGCTAGAACTATGATGTTATTAGAACCAATTGCTGTCTCCCTTTATCTCTTCTGAAATTTTACTGTGGCTCAGACATATCTGGGACATGGTAATTAGATTTCAGAATTCTTCCTAGGATAAGTGGAATAGGGGATTAAGGCAGTACTTTCTTTTTAAAGAATTATTTATTTAATTATATATATTTATTATTATTGCTGCTTTTTAATTGATCAGAGAAAAATAGAGAAAAGAAAAGTGAGAAAGCAAGCCACCAGGTCCAGGACTTGAACCATGGTCAATCATATAGGAGTCCAATGCCTTCACCACACCACCTGCTGGCCCCAAGGTAGCACTCTTTCTTTTCCTTTTTTTTTTTTTCAGTTTGCTGTAAGGCACAGGTGCTTGCTGGAGGGAGACAGAGAGAGGGGAAAATGAGAAATCACCCTTTAAGAGGGATGGCCATGTTGCAATCGCTTCTCTTCCACTTTCCTCCTAAGATTTTGGGCACACAGACATGTGCCCAGCATATTTTTTAAGCCTCTGAGTCCAGGACTCAAACCAAGCAATTGGCCATGTGGGATCCAGCACCTTAACCACTTTGCTACCAGCTGGCCCCCAAGACTGCACTTTCTGAAGGATAGATCTATGATGTGAAATGTTAAATCTGGCTTCTACCCATTAACTTACATATGACTTTTAGCAGAGACACTGTTCTTTAACTTTTTCTTGTGTAAAAAGACAATATAGTGTTGTAGATAGAACTCTTGACATTTGTGTAGACCTTTGAAATCTTTGCCAGGCTACGATGAATCACTATACCATGTTATTTAATTTTCCTTTATTACTCTGCAATAAAAAATGGCTAACAGATTTAAGTGCCCCTTATGGGGTGGTAGAAACCACAGAGTTTCACTGGAGTGTGGATGGTAGGCAGTTGGTTGGGCTCACTCACTGGCTTCGTGATTGATTCAACAAACATTCTAATTCCCCAGATGAGAGGATTCTAAGCTAATTTCTCAGCAAAGATACTGATGACTGTTTGTCACTAATGACTTTGAGAATCTCTTTTGACTTGGCAGATCCTTAAAGTACAAAATCCAAGCCAAAGGGCTACTCTTATTTTCTGCTTTCTCTCTGCCTTAGGGATGCTCTAAGGGTGGAATGAGATCAAACTTGAGAAACACCATGAGCCTCTCATGCTTGCAGTGGTGATTTGGGTCAGTTGGGTTTATTCCTTTTTGAGTAAAGAAAGAGGTACTAACTCTCTGGCCCTCTACCAGTTTGCCATTTTCAGCCGAAGATTCTGCACACATACAAGACCATTACACGCTCCTGGAGCGTCAGATCATTATTGAGGTGAGATTCCTCCTCTCTGTGATTTTTGCTTTAGTGTCAAGGCTCAGTACTGTTCATCTAAGAGATTGCCGTGCTCTGCACATAGGTATCATTTCATGTTGCAGTCTCTAAAAGCCTTTATTTTCTCCCTCTACACAATCGCCCTCTTTCTCCACTGTCCTATGCTGTTAACCCTGAAATATTTCTTCTCCCTTCCCAATCTCCCATGTTGTCACCGCTTCAGTCTTTGTCCAGCTAACTTGGATCCATGATCATTTTATGGATTTAAAACTCCCTCCGGGAATCCAGACAATCTTTTCCTTTTCATGTCATTTCTAGGGTGAGAAGCATAACTGCTGGGGTATTAATGGTTTTTCTCCCGCCTCTGCTTCATGGACAGTATTCTTTTATTTTTCACTTGCTTCTATCCACCACAGGCAAATGATCGACATTTAGAATCAGCAGGACAGACTGAGATCTTCCGAAAGCATCCCCGCAAAGCTTCCATCCTCAACATGCCTCTGGTGACCACGCTCTTCTACTCCTGCTTCTATCACTACACGGAGGCTGAGGTACAGGCAAAATGTGGAAGAACGACCCCACGGACTCCCTGCATGGGGAGAGCGTGACGGGAATTCAGTCCTTTGTACTCTGTTAACGATGGGTGTGTGTAGTTCTCAGAAATCCATCTGGAAGCTCTCCTGGTCTGCAGCAGGGGTGAGCCAAGAAGGGAAGCGAGCTTTGTAAGGGTTTGCTTCAGGTACTGCCACGCTAGCACAGCGCGGTCTGCCCCTAGAGCTGGTTCCCACAGCAGCCTCTGTTCAAAGGCATCAGCAGCATGTCAGGTAGCTGTGGATCCTCTTTTTTTTTTTTTAATTTATTTTTTTAATTTTTGAAGACATTTGGATTTTTTAAAAAAAGAATTAGTTATTTATTCATTCATTTATGTTAATTTGACCAGAGAGAGAAAGAGACAGAGAGAGAGAGGGAAAATGAGAAGGCAAGCCACTAGGTCCAGGACTCGAACCATGGTCAACCATGTGGGAGTGTCCAGCATCTTAACCACCACACCACCAGCTGGTCCCTGACATTTGGATTTAATGGTTACAGGTAGACCATTTTTTTTTATTAGCAAAAAAACTTGGACAATGCAGCATTCTTCTCAGTCCAGTTCCTAAGAGGCCACTGTGCGGTGGTATCTGATTAGACCCAATGTAGCTTTCACTTTCCAGGTTTCACCTACAGCGTGAGATGTAGAAAGTTTGTGTAGTGGAAAAGCTGGGAGACTGAGCGTTATGCAGGAAAATCAGCGTCACTAAAGTTCCTTCTCCACTTTGACCCTAGGGGACATTCAGCAGTCCCATCAACCTGAAGAAGACATTTAAGGTAGATATAACTTGGTCAGTGTTTTCTAAAATTTGTGTGGGGTAACTTCGTGGAGTGGGTGTTGCATGGTAGCCCTGAACAGTAAGCCCTTTGATAGTCACGGTTAAATGTAGAAAGGAATGAGTTTGTGGAAAGTGAGAGAAGACTTTAACCAAATAACCTGTGGCAGTGCTTGGGAAAAAGAGGTTCTTGGTGACTTGAGAAATGTATTGATTTTGAGGTGTAGAATCAATACCAGGGAACATTTATGCCTGTCTTCTCTGAAATTCTAAGCACCTTGGTTGATGCAGTTCCCCTAGTCATTACTTTCCCTTAGTTGTTCTTGGTCTCTGCTATCTAGATCCCAGACAAGCAGTATGTGCTGACAGCCTTGGCTGCTCGCGCCAAACTCCGAGCCTGGCATGATGTAGATGCCCTCTTCACCACAAAGGTGGGTGCCCCAGAAACGTTGTGTGCTGCTGAGGCCTTGGCAGAAAGAAGGGTCATCATTACATTTTTGTTTGTATTTTTCAAAATTTCAAACCTTAGGGACAGTTGAAAGAATAGGGTAATGAACACTTAAAGTCTTTTTTTTTTTTTTTTGGAGAGGTTTTTTGCTATAGGGCGCATGCGCTCGCCAGACAGAGAGAGAGAGAGAGAGACATAGAGACAGAAAGCAAGAAATCACCCCCCAGGGGGGATGGCCACGCCACAATCCCTTCTCCTCCATTCTCTCGGGATCTTGGGCACGCACGCACATGTGCCTGGCGTGAGTTTTAACCCACCGGGTCCGGGACGCAAACCGCGGTCGACTATGTGGGAGTCCAGCGACATAGCCATTACGCTAACTGCTGGTTCCCAACACTTAAAGTCTTTATCCACATCATTAATTTTATTGCTTTTTTTTTTAACCATAATAATTTTTGCTCTTTTCTATACACATGCATATTTTTCTGAGCCATTTAAAAGTAAGTTGGGGACCAGGAGAGGGTGTAATGGTTACATCACTGGACTCTTATGTAGTGGACTACAGCTCGTGTTCCGTACCAGTGACTTAAAACTCACACCACTGTGTGTGCATGCATGCCCAAGATCCCAAGAGGAAAACGGAGGAGAAGGGACTGCAGCATGGCCATCCTCCCTGGGTGATAATTTCTCACTTCTGTCTCTGTCTTTCCGGCAAGCACACACACCCTACAGCAAAAAAATCTCTCTTAAAAAAAAAAAAGTAAGGGACCAGCAGTTAGCGTAATGGCTATGTCGCTGGACTCCCACGTAGTCAACCACGGTTTGAGTCCCGGACCCGGTGGCTTAAAACTCACACCGGGCACGTGTGCGTGCGTGCCCAAGATCCCGAGAGGAGAATGGAGGAGAAGAGATTGGGGCATGGCCATCCCCCCGGGGGGGTGATTTCTCACTTTCTGTCTCTGTCTCTCTCTCGTCTTTCTGGCGAGTGCACGCGCCCTATAGCAAAAACCGCTGCAAAAGAGAAAAAAAAGTTAAGTTGTAGGGCTAACCTCACTGCCTATTAAATGAGCCAGATCACCCATGACCAAGTGTGGTTCAAAGTTGGGCCTTCGTGCTTTGAAAAACACTGGGCAGGGACCAGCAGTTAGCGTAATGGCTATGTCGCTGGACTCCCACGTAGTCAACCACGGTTTGAGTCCCGGACCCGGTGGCTTAAAACTCACACCGGGCACGTGTGCGTGCGTGCCCAAGATCCCGAGAGGAGAATGGAGGAGAAGGGATTGCGGCATGACCATCCCCCCTGGGGAGTGATTTCTCGCTTTCTGTCTCTATGTCTCTCTCTGTCTGTCTGACGAGCGCACGCGCCCTATGGCAAAAACCTCTCAAAACAAAAAAAAAAACCACTGGGCATATGTGTACGTGTGCCCCAAATCCTGATAGGTTGGAGAAGGATCCTGCCCTGTCAGAAGGCACCTTCTTCCTTTCTCTGTCTCTCTGTCTCTGGCCAGCACACATGCCTTTTGGCAATTAAAAGTCAGACATGATATGTCTCCTTTAAATACTTTAGCATTTATTTTTTTCATTAGCACATTATTATCACTTTCAAGGAATTTAACAACATAATATTGTATGTGATTGACATACAATATTAACTATATTAACAATATTATGATTGATGGTTATTTATTGCTGTTTTTGGTTTGCTTTTGTATTTATTTTTTATCAGGATCCAATTGGGGATCTTACATTACATTTGGTTGTCATGTCCCTACTGATTTACTTTTTTTTTGTTTTTTAGAGATTTTTGCTGTAAGATGAGTATGCTTGCTGGAGGGACAGAGAGATAGAAAGCAAGAAATCATCCCCTGGAGAGATGGCCATGCCACAATCCCTTCTCCTCCATTCTTTTCTCAGGATTTTGGGAATGCACATACACACACACCTGGCACCAGGTTTCAAGCCACCAGGTCCAGGACTAAAACCATGGTCGGCCATATGGGAGTTCAGCGCTTTAACCACTACAATGCTTGCTGACCCCGATTTCTATTTTTTAAAATAATTTTGTATTGTGTGTATTTAAAGTACATAAAATTATGTTTTATTGTACATACACATAGCAAAATGATTACAGCAGTTAAGCCAGTTAGCATCCATCATCTAATGCAGTTACTCATTTTTTTGTGAGTGGTAGGAGCACCTAAAATCCACTATCTTAGCAGATTTCTAGTTTACAACATGATATTATTAGTATTATTTATTTTACACATACCAGTTATCTTTTATGAGGTATAAATTCCCAACTAGGATACGAAAGGACTCAGTAAGTTCCTTTGGAGGGATGCTGGGCCAAGGAAATGAAGATCTGGTTCAGTGTATGCCCCCCATGCTGGCCCTCTTCAGTGGTATTTGTGTTGCCGCTCGTGTTTGAGTTCCTATAAGAAAGGCAGTAGCTGAAGAGCACATAAGCGACTGGCACCGTAGAAACCGCAGCAGCACCCCCTTTCTTCACATTGACATACTTCTAATACTGGTAGTGACCGCTCTGAAATGCTCCAGCAATGCCTTTGGGGTAAGATCCCACATGAATATCCAGCTTGGCCGCTCCCCGAATTTGACATCCATGAGTTTCTTCTCCTTCACTGGTACGACTGACGCCATCTTGAAGTCCTGGACAGCATCATGATATTGTTAACCATAGTCTTCCCACTTTACATGAACTCTCTAGACTTATTTACCACATAACTACAACTTTAAATCTCCCCATCACTCACAACCTTAGAAACCACTGTTCTCTCTGTTTCTATATAGTCGGCTGTGTTTGTTTGTTTGTTTGTTTGTTTATCCATTTATCTGTTTATTTCAGTTTGGCCAGAGAAGGACAGAATGAGAGAAAGTGAGAAGGCAAGCTGCCAGGTCCAGAACTTGAACCATGGCCAGCCATGTGGGAGTCCAGTGCCCTTAAGCACCATGCCACCTGCTGACCCCAATATATTCGACTATTTTTTAACTCCCACATTGCTTGTGTGAGATCATGTAGTATTTTTTTTTTTGGTCAGGCATTTTTCATTTGGCATAAATAGCCTCAGGGTTCATCCATGCTGTCTTTTTTTTTTTTTTTCCATTATAATTATTTATTTTATTTTATTTATTCATTCATTTACTTTTTAGTCTGACCAGAGAGAGACAGAGAGAAAGTGAGAAAGCAAGCCACCAGATTCAGGACTTGAACCCTGGTCGGCCATGTGGGAGTGTCCAGCACCTTAACCACCACGCCACCTGCTGGTCCCCCATCCATGCTGTCTTAAATGAAAGGATCTCTTTATTTTTTTTAAGGCTAAATAATATACTTAATGTTGTGTGTGTTAATGTGTATGTCAGAATTCTTTTTTTTTTTTTTTCTTTGAGAGAGAGAATTTTTTTTGCTGTCGGGCGCATGTCCTCACCAGAGAGACAGAAAGCAAGAAATCAACCCCCCAGGGGAATGGCCACACTGCAGTCCCTTCTCTATTCTCCTCTCAGGATTTTGGGTGTACACGCACATGCGTTTGGAGTGAGTTTCAAGCTGCCGGGTCCAGGACTTGAACTGTGGTTGACTATGTGGAAGTCCAGCAACATAACCATTATGCCATCTGCTGGCCCTGGTAGTTCTATTTTTAATTTGTTTTTTAAAAAATTATTTATTTAATTTTATTTATTCATTCATTTTATTTTAATATGACCAGAGAGAGAAAAAGAGGGAAAGTGAGAAAGCAATTCTCTACCAGGTCTGGGACTCGAACCATGGTCAGCCATGTGGAAGTGTCCAATGCCTTAACCACTACGCCACCTGCTGGTCCCCTAGTATTTTTCTTTTCTTTTCTTTTCTTTTCTTTTTGTTTTTTTTTGTGGAGAGGTTTTTGCTATGGGGCATGTGCGCTCGCCAGAGAGACAGAGAAACAGAAGGCGAGAAATCACCCCCAGGAGGGATGGCCATCCACAATCCCTTCTCCATTCTCTCGGGATTTTGGGCCTGCATGCACTTGTGCCTGGCATGAATTTCAAGCCACTAGGATCGGGACTCAAACCATGGTTGCCCTTGTGAGAGTCCAGCATCCCAATCACTGTACCCCCTGCTGTCCGCTGTAGGTTTTTTTTTTTTTTTTTTAGGGTGCATGTGCTTGCCAGAAAAATGGAGAGAGAGAGAGGCAGAAAGCGAGAAATCACCCCCAGGGGGATGGCCACGCTGCAATCCCTTCTCCTCTCAGGATCTTGGGCACGTACGCACACGCGCCTGGCATCAGTTTAAGCCACTGGGTCCGGGATTCAAACCGCAGTCGACTACGTGGTGTCCGGTGACATAGCCATTACGCCAACTGATGGTCTCACAGGGCACGTGCGCTCGCCAGAAAGACAGAGAGACAGAGAGATAGAAAGCAAGAAATCACCCCCCAGGGGGGATGGCCACGCTGTAGTCCCTTCTCCTCCATTCTCCTCTTGGAATCTTGGGAACGCATGCACACGCACCCGGTGTTGAGTTTTAAGCCACTGGGTCCAGGACTTGAACTGCGGTCGACTACATGGGAGTACAGCGACATAGCCATTACACTAATTGTACTGGTCCTGATATTGTTTTTCATAGTGGCTGTACCAATCAATATTCCCACCAGCAGTGCACAAGGATTCTTTCTTCTCCATACCCTTACTGCTTGTCATTTTAGTAATAGCATCCTAACAGTTGTGAGGTAATATCTCATGATTTAAATTTCTCTGATGATTAGTGATACTGAGAACCTTTTCATGTGCCTGCTGACCTTTTTTATGTCATCCTTGGAGAAATGTCTTATTCAGGACCTTCACCCATTTATTAAGGTTTTTGTCACAGGGTATGTGCACTCACCAGAGAGAGAAAGTGAGAAATCACCCTCCTGGGGAGGATGGCCACACCACAATCCTTCCTCCTCCATCTCTTCTTGGATTTTGGGCATGCATGCCTGCATTCCTGGGTGATTTCCGGGCCCAGGACTCATCACGGTCGGCCGTGTGGGAGTCTAGTGCCTTAAACACAACATACCTGCTGGACCAACCTTTACCCATTTTTAATTGGATTACTTGTTTTTCTGCTATTGAGTTGTGTGATCTTATAAATTTTAGATACTAACCCCTAATCAGAGGCAGCCATTCCTCATTTTACAGCACTTTGCTTTATCGTGTTTCAGCCTTGTAAGTTGAAGGTTTGTGGCAACCCTGTGTTGATCAAGTCTGTTGGCATGTTTTTTCCAATAGCATGTACTCACTTCATATCTCTTTCACATTTTGGTAATTCTCAAAATATTTCAACTTTTTCCTTATTATTGTATCTTTATGGTGATCAGTGATCTTCTCCATTCATTTATTGATTCAATTCAGATGTTATTTTTATAATTTTGAGGGACTCCACAAATCTATCTAATTGATAAATGTAGTGTGTATTCTGACCGCTCTACCCACCTGGCCATTCTCCGTCTCTCTCCCTCTCCTTGGATCACTCTCTTTCCTGAGATGCAACAATATTGAAATTAGGCCATTTAATAGCCCCACAATGGCCTCTGCATGTTCAAGTGAAAGAAAAATCGCATGTCTCACTTCAAATCAAAAGCTGGAAACAGTTAAACTTAGTGAGAAAGATGTGTTCAAAGTTGATATGGGCCAAAAGGTAGGCCTTTGCTCTAAATAATTATTCAGGTTGTGAGTGCAAAGAAAATTCTTGAAGAAAGCTAAGTGCTAGTCCAGTGAGCATATGAAGGATAAGAACATGGAACAGCCTTATTGTCGATACGGAGAAAGTCTGAGTGTTCTGGATAGAAGATCAGACCTGCCACAATACTCCCTTAAGCCAGAGCCTAATTCAGAACTAGGCTCTAACTCTTCAATTCAGTAAAGATGAGGAAGCATGACCAGCAGATGATGTAATGGCTACATCACTGGACTCCCCTGTAGTCAACCATGGTTTGAGTCCCAGACCCGGCAGCTTAAAACTCATGCTGGGTGCATGTGTGTGCAGGCCTAAAATCCCGAGAGAACGGAGGAGAAGGGATTGTGGTGTGGCCATCCCCCGGGGGAGGGGGTGATTTCTTGCTTTCTGTCTCTCTGTCTCCCTCTGTCTTTCTGGGGAGCACACGTGCCCTATAGCAAAAACTTCTTAAAAAAAAAAAAAGGATGAGGAAGCTACAAAAGAAAAATTTGAAGCCAGCAAAAATTGGTTCATGAGGTTTTAGGAAATAAGCTGTATCCTTAACAAAAGTGCAAAGTGAAGCATCAAGTACTGGTGTGGAAACTGGTAAGAAGATCTAGCTGAGAACTAATGCCAGTGGTTATGCTAAACAGACTTTCTAGACCCACCAACCTCCTGTTGGAAGATAATACCATTCAGGACTTTCATAACTAGAAAGGAAAAACCAAGATGCCAGCATGTTTCTCAAGTCACCGGGTCCAGTATTTGAACTGTGAAGTAGACCATGTGGGATCCAGCCATCTTAACCACCACACCACCAGTTGGCCCCAACACCCAGTGTTTTGTTTTTAGGTTTTCGCCATAGGGCACATGCACTCGCCAGAGAGAGACAGAGCAAGGGAAAATGAGAACTCACCCCCTGGAAGAATGGCCATGCCACAATCTCTTCTCTGTTCTCCTCCTGGGATTTTGGGCATGCGTGCACACGTGCCGAACATGATTTTAAGCCACCAGGTCTGAGACTTGAACTAAAGTAACACACTTTTGGGGCCAGCAGGTGGTGTGGTGGTTAAGGCACTGGACTCCCATGTGGCCAACCATGGTTTGAGTCCCAGACCTGGAGGCTTGTGAAATTTCCTACTTTACCTTTCTCTCTCTCTGTCTCTCTCTGGTCAAATTAAAAAAAAAAAAAAAAAAGGGCTAATGATAAAAAATTAAAAAAAATAATTCTTTTTTTTTTTTTAAGTAACACACTTTTAATTCGTAGTTTTGTAATATAATTTGAAATCAGGAAGTGTGATGCCTCCAACATTTTCTTTCTTTTTTTTTTTTGGAGAGGTTTTTGCTATAGGGTGTGTTTGCTCACCAGACAGAGAGAGACAGAGAGACAGAAAGCGAGAAATCACTCCCCAGGGGGGATGGTCATGCCACAATCCCTTCTCCTCTCGGGATCTTGGGCACGCATGCACGCACATGCGCCCGGCGTGAGTTTTAAGCTACCAGGTCCGGGACACAAACCGCGGTCTACTACGTGGGAGTCCAGCTACATAGCCATTATGCTAACTGCTGGTTCCCCCTCCAACATTTTCTTTCTCAGTATTGCTTTAGCTGTTTGGAATGTTTTGTGGTTTTATTGGGTCATCAGAAAAGTTGACCCTTTTTTGCATAGAAAAACACAAAAGTCTGTCATGACTTTTCCGATGACCCAATATATGAATCAGTATACAGTTTTTGTTTGTGGTTTTTGTTTCTGTTTTGTGCTACGGGGTTCATGGACTCACCAGAGAGAGAGAGAGAAAGAGTGAAAATGAGAAAAGTGAAAAAGCATCCCTCATGGGATAGTCCTACTGCAGTCCCTCCTCCAACATTTTCCTCTTGGTATTTTGGGCATGTACACACACCCTCCTGGCTTGTTTTTCAAGATGTTTGGTCTGAGACTTGAACCACACAGTCAGCCATGTAGGATCCAGTCACCTTAACCATGACACCACCAGCTGGCCCAAGTGACAATTTAAATATCTATTTTTTCATTACAGAGAATTTTCTGGTTTTCTCTCTTTTTAGTATTTATCACATTAACTACCAAAGCAATATGTGCCTATTTCAAAAATCAAATATTATGTAAAAGAATATAAAGAGTGAGGGGCCAGCAGGTGGCATAATGGTTAAGGCATGGGACTCCCACATCACCAACTGTGGTTCAAGTCCTGGACCTGGCCCCTTGAGAATCATGCTAGCCCAAATCCTGAGAGGAGAATGGAGGACAATGGATTGCAGTGGCCA